CACACAAAACGGCATATTCATACCAGATAAGAAACTTTTTATATCATTAAGGAAACTAGCTTGGCAAGCAAAATCATTTGGACCACACACATTAATAAGTCCCCAAGAAAAATTTGGATTCGGACCATTAAAAAGTGACAGATAACCATTTATCCCCCATCACAATCTCAAAACTTTGTAGAAACTGAGGATTCCACAGTACCCATAACCCTTCCGAAGCCCCAATAGAGTCAATACCCTCGAAACAAACCGCATCAAAACCCCAAACTTCCTGACCCCCCCAACGGTTGGCTTGGGTAGTTTGGTTTCTTGCGGGTTTAAACTTTTTAACCGGAAACAAAAGATCCTTTTTCCTACTAATATCACCAAACCCTCTAACATTCCCACTCAGAATAAACATTAGAAAAGGTTGGAGGAAGAACCTAGACCCTCAGCATTAGGCCCGAAAAAATGCGAGTCCAATCTGATAGCCAAATCCTCGTCATCAAAACTCTCCTCGGAGCTTACTGGAATAGGAGTCGCCAGGTTTGACTCCTTCTCCCTGATCGCCACATTCCGGCCTCTAGACCTCAACCTATCTGAATATCTGGAAGGAGTACCAGGCACCTTCTCCTTGGTTCTGGCCTTCACCTCCTTCTTCCTTTACCACAAAGGGTTGCTCCAGGGGCGGCATCAAGTTCTTTGCCAATAGGTTGTTCACCACAGGCTACAGTTTTTCGAGCTCTCCCTCAGAACCTGGCACGACCCATAGGTTTGCTTCCATAGTAGTTATCTTCTCCGCCTTATTCTTGACCTTAATAGCCTGGACAACCATCGCAATAGGCACATCAAGATCAACTCCCATATCATGAAACACTGATCTGTAAAGATCCACTTCCTCTCCAACAATACTCGCATCGTCCACACCAAAAGGGTGTACCACCGAGCAATCTTTGACTGGAATAGATGCTACTGGTATGATGGGTTCCACAAGCACCATCGCTGATAATGGATCTACCACGTCCTCTACCTCGTCAGACTGATATTGATTAGAAACTTGTTCATTCACTCTAGACTCATACAGCACCAAATCACCCATTCCAATTTCTTCTTCAGAATCACCCAAAGTGATCACCGCTTGATCATCTACAGCCATTGGGTCAAAACGAGGCCTCTCGCCCTGATTAGTACGCTTCTTCGCAATTTTACGGCAAGGAGCATCCTCAAACGGTCTGCCATGAGGAGCGTACACAGAAGAATTCCAGCTAGCTGATTTGAGACAGCCAACACCAAGTTCTCCGACACCAAGAAAAGGTTTTCTAATTTACTTCGAAGACTCCATTCTTCCCCTTGCCCAAGATAAAGCATGCCTAAAGAAGCTATCCCAAAATCTTCTTGAGAAAAAGCTGACACCGAAACATCACGCGCCGCCTTTACCGTCCCAAACATTTCCACACCAATGTTCTGTGGTCTCGCATGAACTACCTTAATCTCATTATTACCCCTCTTGCCATTAATTTCCACAGGATCTCTAGCCGGATTGTTAGGAATAACATTCGCATCAGGAAACCGTCCCACAAGTACCCACATCTGACAAGAATTTGAATTAACGGTCTTCCCTCTCCGAGAATTGCGTTGAAAACGCCTTGGGAAGAAGTTATTCCAATTTGGATTTTTCCGGTGATGATTCACCAGACCAGCGTAGCCAAACTCCTTCCTCCCAAAGTTCTGGCCAAGCGATAGACTTCAGTCCCCTCCTTCACAGGGCACTGTACCATACCTTGGGAAGCCAAATTATGTGATTGATTGCCCACTACCCCTCCCAAATCTTCCAGCTTCACGTCGACGAAGAACAGACCCTTACCGACCTTTAATCTTATTTGTCTTGGGTACAAAGCGTCCATAAAAATATTGATTTTTACTCTGACTAATGGCGCATTGGGACCACCAAGAAAAGTGCAATCAATCTCACAATATTCTCCAAAAGTGCAATATTTCACTAAGTGCAATATTTCACAAAGGATGGCTGTATCGATGGGCTCCGCTCCAAAAGAGTCATTAGAGATCCACGAACTCTGTAGAATCGTTCCTTCCACGCACTCTGAATGTCAAAATCAATACGTAAGATAAAAGCAGCCCTACCATTACCAAATGAGAAGACATCTGGTAGATATGGTAGATCCCAGCCACGTTTGGCCCAATCACTCAACCCAAAAGTATCTTAAAGTGGCGGACAAAAGGACCCAAGCACAATCTTGTGCTTCTTCCTAGTAGCTTCATCCCCACTTCCTTTATCAATCGTAGGAACCCCAGTAGAAGATTCATGTAAAACTATAGCAAAGCTCTTCCCTCCTTCCAAGACTCTCTCTCTCTCTTCACACCTCTTGGGGTTAACCTTTTGTATTTTCTCACACTTCCAACTTTATGTAACCAAGCTTTGGCCCTTTTATAAAAAAAAAATTGTCACTACTAGAGATGGAGTACCTTGTATGCTTTGCATTCACAGTCGTTATAGCAGCCATGGCCTTGCCATTATAACGATGAAGCAACATGTTCGACATCAATTTAAATCCCACTAAGTTGTTCATGTGCTTATAGGTGTTGGAAAATATTGGATGTTGGTCATATGAGGACAGTAAATTTCTATTTGTTGGAGGTAATTGGTAACGATTTGAAGAGAGACCTTCATGTTTTCAAGCACATCAATGGTTTATCTCAAGACAGTATTTTCCCTATGTTGATAATATTTAGTATGCATAAAGTTTTCTAGTCAAATTTGTCATTAAGATGCTTGAAAAAGAAAATCAAACACTTATATGTTCTATTATCTTATATGTTCTATACATAGGAACAACCAAATAAAAGTGGTCATGCTTTTAGAGAGAAAAAGCAAGTCAGAAAAGAAGAGAGTATGTAAAAGGCTACATTTTGTGAGTGAAATTGATCTCATTTATGTAGAGACAAAATGTGACTGTCTATTTTATGCGGTCTGAATTACAACCGTTTATGATCAGTTCATCCAATGGTTCAAAATATCCATTGCACACCGAGCATATATTTTACACTAATGGCATCGCCTAACGCTAGCCGACTCATTTTGTAGAGAGAAAGAAAGAGAGATTTGCATGGTCTACACCATGTATGGGCTAAGGGGGCACCCTTACACCGTTGCGAACGTGTATGCGTGTGCAAGGGGACAAAGGCGCTTGAGACACGCTTTACACTTTGCCCTTGACCACAAATGCATATGGTCGGACTTGTAACTTGCCTTTCTTACTCTTTTTCACTAGTCATGTTGGCTAGCCACATGGACATGAAAGTGTGACATAAACCCTTGGTGTCGGTGGTTATCGGAACCATTGTTACTGTTCACGAACCAGCTACACAAACGTTGTAACTAATTAAAGGTTAACGACCATTAAAATAGTGAAGAGGTGCAATAATTCAAACCATCTAAAATAAAAAATCACAAGGTGCCGAACAAATACGATCTGTAACTTGAAAAGACATTCTCTGTCTATAGATAGGACTCGATTTTACTTCCAAAATATACGCTTTTACAATACTCACTTATTTTCTAACTTTTTTTCTTTTGAACGAGAGGCGCTAAGAGATCTTGTTGTCTCCCTATATTGAATCTCTCTAAAACCTTCTGCCATCTTAATACTGTCTTAATATAGTGCATTGGCGTATCTTAAACAAGCTAGACAAAGTGCAAACACACTGCAACAAAGTAGCCACTTATGAGTACACTAAACAAGCGTTGTCAACCTTCGAAATAGAAATCAAACTCATGTCTCACTCCCAATTTTTCCTAATGAGTAATGATCTGTGCCCCCATTTAAGCCTATTCCATGCATTGCTTATAGGTCTAGTTGCAGCCTCCTCTGCTCAAAGATCTTATTGTGATTTTCCTCCTCTAGGTTTTAGCAGCATTTCATTCACTTAAAATAATTACTCAAAAGTCACAAAAATAAGAGACAATCAACTAATCAAGAATCAGATAAACCCAATGAATCAACCACCAAAGTGAGCTTAATGGCACAATTGAATATCTAGGAACATGCCACAATACTTGGTTTGATCAGCATGAACACGAGGCTTATTAAGCATTTCAGAATTACCAAAAGCATGAACAGAAGTTCACATTATATGGCAGATACAAAGACATTTGTTGGCAAGTATGATGCATTGCTCAAGGCCCAGAGAAGTGGTCGCTTCCACATCAATTGCCATGCTCTTTCCTTCAACCTAGGTGAATGCAGCTACAGATTCAGCAGTGCTTTAAAGCTTGTAGCAGAGTTCTCTTACTATCCACTTGGAAAGAACATGGATTAAAAGGAAAGGAGTGATAGGGTAGACACCACAACTTCTCCTTACCGTGTAAGGTTTCAAAAACAACCACAAGATACCTTGAGCAAGGTGTACAAATGAGATTTAGCATTCAATCAATCTTACTTTCTTTTGTGTGATGCCCAATTCATTGAGCAAAAACACATCCAAGCATTCTTAGCTATAGACCAACCTAAGCAACATAACAAACAAAATGGTGTTTAGATAGAATCTTCGAATTATATAAGACGCACCTATGAAAATCCCACACTTTCATTCTAACCATGGGAATCTACCCTCCAAGAGGTTTGGAGATCTTAGTCTCAGAACCCACGTAGTGGGTATGAATCCCATAATATGAATAATGAAAGGAAGAGGAAAGCTCTATTTTGGTTCCATTTTCCTTCTTATGCAATGTGGAGCAGCAAATGATCATATAATTCAGTAAAGAGCAAAGACCCCTGCACCAGCTAGTATATAGACTTCAAGATAAAATCAATTACTAAATCATGATCACAGTTTCTCTCTAAAAACCAAAATATTTTGGAACGGTGCATTAGAAACAAGCACTGAAATTCAATCAGCATCACTTCCTTTAGATCTGAACAACAGTAGTTTAATTAAAAACACATCCAAGTACTTGCACCATTTCAAGCCAACTTAAGAAACAAAACTCGAACATCAACAGAATCTATTCCTGTATAAATCCGTGACAAAGTTTGCATCTATCAATGGATCCAAACCATAGCATAGTAGACTTGGAATTCATAGTGTGGCATCGAAGTTTTTGGTCTGAAATCCCACACATATCAAAAGAGAACCGAGAAAAAGAAGAACGAAATAAACGAAGGAAAGTCCCTTACCTTTTCCTTGTCATTCATCCATTTCATTTTCTTTTTTTCCCGGAAATGTTAACATTGTATTTCTGTAACTAAAGATTACATTGTATTATAGTGACCGACAATCCAGGTGCTCTCTTCCTAAAGAAACTCACCCATTTCATATTCTCCAAAACTATCAAAAAATGGAGCCCCCCCTCCCCATTGACTAAAAGGTATCCATTTCTGTAGCATTTTATAGCCTCCCCCAAACATATTCTTCAAAATGATCAAAAGTTTGATCTCTGCCTTCACAAAAAAAGAGATCCACTTCTGTAGTATTCCTTTAAGGTATACACAGTTTGGTATATATACAAGTACCACTAAACTATCAAAATGGCAAAGTTGCCCAAGCTATCCAAACAATCATCAAGCCTAACTGTTACTGTATGCGATCATGGCATGAGATGAAGCTATAGGAAAAGAGGCCAACCGCTTCTCCATCTCAACTTTCACATCTTGATTGCATGGCTTTTCAGTCTTGATATATAACACGTCCAATACGTTTGCATTCAATAGGAAGAATGCTGCAATTTCCAAGACCTGCTCGTACCCTTTCAAAGACTTTATATCCACTATTTTGAGGCAACCCATCCAAGGATTGGAATCACAATTGAATTTCTTCCAAAACAATCCATTACTTCCAGCTTCAGTATCTTTGTTGATAGCAGCCTCTGACCTCTCCCAATTTTCAGCTTCCTTGATCACAAGAGTCTCTGAACTCTCACCATCTTCAGCTTCTTCGTTTATAGAAACCTTCAAACTCCCACTACCTTCAGCTTCTATGGCAACATCAATCTCCAAAACACAAAAGGAAGGAGGAGGATTTCAAAATCAAAAGTGGTAGAAGCAAAATTTAAAAGTACAGAGAAATGTGTTCATCAAAAAGGAAAGAAAAGAACCATGTTCAGACTCCAGAACACACCTTAATTCGAAGAACCTCTAAGTATGGGGAATTCTTTAGGAAATATACAATTCCCATGAAATCCTCTCTAGCAAACCAGATTAGCTCTATATCCAATACATTTAGAGAATTGTAAGGAGCAGAAAGTCTCTGCATCTTAGTATCCAAAGCCCCATCAAATATATCCTGTGTAATAGAAACTAGTATCACAAGATGAAGGTTTGCAGAGAGTTCATGGACTACATCTAAGTAAAATTTCACATAAAGACACAAACAACATCACAGCAAAAAGGGATGAAACCCAGTAGAGGATCAGTAAAGATCATTAAAAGCATAGAAATTCCACAATAATATTCACCAAAAGAAAGAACAAAGAAAGACCACCATGACAAGCACTCAAACCCAATACAAAATCATCAAGAATCATTAACTTTGCATAAAATTTACCATGACAAAAACAATCAAAACCCCATACTAAATAGTACACCACTAAGATTGATGAAAATGAAGGAAGAAGCAAACAGTTACCGATGTTGTCCAGCCAGAGAAGCCAAGAAAATCTAATTTGGTGAGACCCTCTATAACCTGACTCAAAACACAATCTCTTGGATCTCCAATACAACTCCAATGAATCGTTACCCTCTTCAAATTGAGACTACCACTGAGATCAATAGCAAGGAATTCACCCTTCAGATAGAACGAGAGAAGACTTAGTCCATGAACCATAATGCAGCAGAGGTCAATACAGTCGATTAGCTTCAAATTCTCCAACATTTTGCTGTTGGAAACCAGATATTCAAGGACTAAATCACTCACTGATGATTTCTCAAGAGAGAGAAACTTTAGAGAGAGAAATCCCTGAAAACCAGGTGGGGGTTCCAATTTGCAATCAACCAACTCAAGTGTTACCAAAGAGGAGCACATAAACAGAGATGAATGCAATGTGTAGAGATTAATGTGGGACCTCAGTCGCTTAATCGAAAACACTTGCAAGCCTTTTTTGGTAATTAAATCGACCCATTGATCAAGGTCCCAGGGCCAGAAGCATATGGGCTCTTGCAGCCGGAACCCTAAAATGGGTCCTTCATGTAGAGAGACAAAGTTGTGGATTATCATATTCCAGTCATAAAAAAACTCTTGGGTTTCATCTGTTTTGCTCTCAGAGAAAGAATCAACGTCCAAGTTCAATACAGGCATCGAAGCCCACATGTTTCGCCATTTACGAGCGAGAACAGAGGTTCTTCCTGCCTCTCTTACAGGTAAGAAAGAGAGAATGGAAGAGATAATCTCTTTTGGAAGATAACTAAGCTTATCAGCTGAAGATGATACACTCTTCTTTGACTGAGAACTCAAACCCAACTCCATTTCTCTGATATTTTCAGTATTGAATCTTTGTCTGGTTTCCTACTAGTTTAGAGAGAGAAAGTAGGGGAGATGATAGTTTTCTTTCTTTATGTGAGAGAGATTGTGCTCATGCGCCAGCCATGGGGGAAGTGACCAACAACTCTTTAGAGAGAGAGAGATTTCTGGCTTCTCTTTCACCAGCTTTTTATGGTCATTTTTTTACTCTTTTTTTCTTTTTAAAGCTAATGAGAAATAGACAAAGCCTTAATATTTCGGTTTCAATCAAACAAAGAGAAAACAGAGAGCAAATAATTTTTATTTTCTGTTTCTTTTATTTATTTTTCTTTCATTTTCGATGATTAGGGAAGGTTAGGTTAAACTTTTTTTTAAAATTTGGACTAGGCTTCTATGCAGCCCGCTCGTAGAAATGTTAGCTCGACTATAAATATTTTTTAAATATAATTTGATCTTTAAGTTTTTATAGAATATATAATCTTTAACATTGAAATCTAAAAAAATTAAAAATTAAAAATAATAATTATGTTCCAAAAACATTTGAACTTTAGTTATAATTGTCTTTAGGTGAACTACCTATGTGCATCCATTTTATCTTTAAAATGGATGCTTTGTACCTTTGGACCGCATAATGTAGAAATACGAACTAACGGCCTGAAACAATTTTCTTAAATAAAATTTATTTTTCCTTTCATTTTCTTTCTCTGGGATGATTAGGGTTGTTGGGTTATAAATTTGATTTAAATATTAATTCCCATATGGGTTCTCTCTTCTCATGATTATTGAAAATTTTCCCACAATTAAAAATGCCATAAATACAGATTTCCTTTTCCCCAAAATAGTATTTAGCAGAAATGCTCTCTCTTTCCTGACGGTATCCCAGTACTTCAAGTTCTCTCTCTTTACCTGACAACTTTCTCTCTCTCTGTACCTGACGTTATGCCACCGCTTGAATTCTGCCGTAGTCCACGTCGTATGTTAGTGCCACTCGTTTTGGCAGTTTTTATAATACATACATACAAACTCACATGCCTGAAAGACACTCATTGGAATTAGAAACAAAATTCAACCCACCCAGACTTGATAAGGTCAAGTTGAGACCCATACCTCATTTGAATTTGGGTTGCGTCTAAGTCAATCGGACTCAGACCTTGTCGGTTCAAGTTGGGTTGGGTCTAATGTATAAAAAATATATAATTATATAATAAAAATAATTTTATATAATTTAAATATAATTTTATATTTATATTTATATTTTATATATTATATTTATAGTAGATAGTCCAATGCAATGTTATTGAATTCGGTTCGCTTTGGCCGAAACGGCCGAAGTCTTCAGTTTTACCCACTTTACTGAAGAGAAGCGAAGAATTGCCCAAAACTTAGATTTTTACACCAAAATTTATGTGTTTTGGAAAAGGAAAATGTTTATATAAGGATGCAACCTTATAATGTAGAAATACGGATGCACCTTAAAAATCCATCGAAAAAGGTAGTTTTAGTGTTGAAAAATCATTTGATTGATCATCTCGATATCAAGATGTATGACCATGAAAATAAAAATATTTTAAGTCTCGGAAATAGTCCATTTTACAACATATTATCTACACCATCCATTTTCAGCATTTTACAACATATTATCTACACCATCCATTTTCACGATTTTCATATATCTATAGATCTACTTGATTTTAGCTATTTTTAAATTTTAAAATTTTATAATTAAATTTAAAAATAGATTTTAAAATAATCTTAAAAATCTTTTACATCAAAATTATATACCATGATCAAATTTGAAGGTGCACCTTACCTCTAAACCTACGGATGCATCAGTATGCTAACTGCACCCTTTGACGATTTATATATATGATATTGACACGTATTTTTTGTGAAGGTAATAACTTTGGTCTTGACAGGTTTTTTTTTTTTAAAGGTAATAACTTTGGTCATGATGATAGGGATTGACTATGTACATGGCAAGTTTGGGTCTTTGCACTTTGCACAAAACTACAAACCAAGAAGGGTATCAGTTGGCTTGGGACGGAGATGATATATTGAGTACGTTATTGAATATTTCGATGAGGTTTTTCCAAAAGACCCACCAATATTAAGTCACCGGATGTTGTCTGTTATTTTAATGTAAGTGAATATTATATTTTGATTTTTTTTTTATTTTGTAATAAATTTATTTAATATTAAATTTTTTATTTTTAACATTTTATAAAATTATATAAATATCTATTTTAAATTTATATTAAAAAAAAAACCCCTAAGTCTTACCCCAAATTAGTTGAAGCACCAAATTACTTCATTTTATAAACAAAACCGAAACAGGCTCCGAAGCGAACCTGACAACATTGGTCCAATGTAATACACATCTTCAAGTGGTTTTAGTCGACCATTGGATAAAAAACTGATCTTGAGATCAAAATTGATCTTTTATAAGAAAACCTACCTAACACGCACCCAATAGTGTTTGTTTTGGGAAAATATCCCTTTACCCCCTATTTTTAACTTCTATATCTCATTATACCTAAGAATTAAAAATATTACTTGGAAGTAAAAGGTGTTCATTTTTTCTATTTTATAACTCCCGGGATCCCTTTGACCACAAATCTTTGACCCAAAGAATTGAAAAAATAATAACCTATCCTTCTTACCCGTCAACGTAATTATTTCGAACCACCCTCTCTCTCATCACCGTCTCTCTTTTTCTCAAAATTCCATTTCTTTCTCTACTAAATAGAGTTGTAGAAGTTCCCTCTCTGCATCCTCTCTATTTGAAAGAACCCATAGATGAGATTTGATAACGTGAGAGAGAGCTTATTTTTCTGGATCTTACGTTGCAGAAGTTTCTCATAGGTATTTATCTTGCCACACACACAAGAGAGAGAGAGTTGAAGGGTATGTTGATTTTAGAGAGGAGATTGTTCCCGTAAGATTCTCATAGCTCCTTTATTTTTCTTTTTCCTTTTTTTCCAGAGGGAGAAACAATGGCTATGGAAATTTTAGATCGTAGGGCGTTGTTGTAGCGCTTTCATAGCTCCTTCCATTGTTTTGACTAAGAGCTTGATGTTGTAGGGTTTCCCTTCTTTCTCCTCCTCTTGAGAATGTGTGTGTGTGATAGAGAGAAAGAGAGATCTGATAGGTAGGTACTAGCAGAGAAGAGTTGGTACTTGAAAGGGTAATGGAGGAGTTTCAATAGAGGAAACCCTAGGCCGAATTGTGCTAGGATGATTCAGATGATGAAGCATGGGATTACTGTGAAAATAATTCATTTCTTCAAGATTCGTTCCTATTGGAAATTTTAGAGAGAGAGAGAGAGAGAGAGAGAGAGAGTGAGTGAGTGGAGTTGCAGAGAAATGGTAGAGTGACTCAACTTGATTTTGATTTCGTCAACTTAGGTTCTTGTAAATTCAATGAACAAGTCTTGGAGGCCAATTGTAACATGATCTCAGCTCATATTTTTAAGGTGTTGCCTCCTAGTATTCGAAGCAGTATGGTTTTTTCACCTTAATCAGCAATGGATATTGACAAAGATGAGCTTGCCATGGATCCAGCTTGGCCCTATCTCCAAATTGTCTATGATTTGCTATTGAAATTCGTGGCCAGTTCCAATACTGACCCAAAAGTTGTGAAGAAGTACCTGGATCATTCCTTTGTGTTTCGATTGCTGGAGCTCTTTGATTATGAAGGCCCAAGAGAGAGAGAGGCCTTGAAGAAGATATTGTGTAGAATTTATAGGAAATTCATGGTTCATTGGCCATTTATAAGGAAAACAGTGAGTAATATATATATCGATTTGTTTTTGAAAGGGAGAGGCATAATGAGATAGCGGAGTTGTTAGAGGTTCTTGGGAGTATAATTAGTAGGTTTGCTTTGCCATTAAAGGAAGAACATAAGATGTTCTTAGAAAGAGCTTTGATCCCACTTCATAAGGCTAAAAATATCGGGGCTTATCTTTAACTGTTATCATTTAGTTTCATTCAGTTCATAGAGAAGGAACCCAAATTAGCAGGGACAGTAATAAAGGGGTTGTTGAAGTACTGGCCAGCCACTAATAGCCAAAAGGAAGTGATGTTTTTGGGGGAATTGGAGGAGGTTTTAGAGGTGACAAATGGAGTTGAGTTTCAAAGGACTATGGTCCCCCTTTTTAGGCGAATCACATTGCGCATTAACAACTCCCACTTTCATGTAAAGATCTCTCTGTTCTCATATCTTTGATGGTCTTATCTTTTACATCTACTGAATATTTAAGTTCAAGTCGAATTATTAGTTAAAATTGTGATTTTCCAAAAAAAAAAAAAGAAGAAAAATAAATAGTTAGTTCAAGTACTGCTATTAAGAAAAAGAAATAGTTAGTTCAACTTCTGCTATTTACATGATTTGTTATTCATTGCGAAATGGATTTGGTATGTTTTTAATTTCAATTGAACATTTTCTTGCCCTTTTGACATGACATGTGTTTATGTTGCTTGATACAATTAGTATCATCCACTTCCTTCTTCCAAGAACATGATTTCATGATGCCATACATATATCCTTTAGCAGTCATTCTGCCCTACACTTTAAAGTTTAAAAAGTAAAAAGGAACCAGGGAAGCAAAAATTTGCTTTGGACCTGTGAGCAGTTATTCTGTTTGAGGTAATGGATGCTAAAAGGGGGCAAAAATTATGTCTCCCTGTTATCATTTCTCTCTCACTCTCTCTGGCCCCCCATGTGAAAATCGAGATTCATTCTTAATTGGTGCAATATCCCATAAGTTTTTTGTTTAAAGCAGCCTGGCCAATTTGATCAACCCTTTGGATTGGCACTACCAGTTCTTCAAGTGCGTGCTACCAATACTTAACCAGAGTGGAAAGTAATGAATGACTTAATCATTTTGTCTGAGACAAACGTTGTATCTTCAATGAACATATTTGGCCCCTTTCTCTTTCTCCATGATAAAGAACCATCAAAATTGGGTGCAGATTTCAACAATTATTTCTTTATTTAATAATGATTGTATGTTTTTCTGGTTATGTGCCCCACTTAACTTTGATATTTTGTTGAAAGCCATGTGAAGTTGATATTTTATTTAAAGTAATTATCTCTCTATATAATCTGTTATCACACGTGATTGGATATTGTTAAAATTGCAAAGTCCTCATGACAATAATGATTTTTGCACAGGTCCTTGCTGTGTAGAT